AAAAAAAAAAAAAGATTATACTGGCCTCATAAAATGAGTTGGAACAAGTTCCCAACCACAAACCAAAAAAAAGGACCTAGACTAACTCTGCTGGTAGCTACTTTTCCCAGGATCTACTTGGCTGAAGCAGAGGGAGGGGCAGAGCTAGGAAAAGCTGGACAGTTGGACAAGAAAGGTGCTTTCTCCACCTGTAGTTTAGTTCTTCCTAGGATCCTTTCCAGGGCTCTATGCATACCTGGATGCTAACCTCCTCTTTGCACTGCCTCAGGATGTCCTTCTGGAGGACCTTGACCTTGGGCACCACCTATAAAAGGACAGGAATGATGACTCATAAAAGGGAATAGTGCTATTGAATTGTTTATTCCTCCCAACCTTTCTGGAACCAAAACTGGAGGCAGGGACTAGAAAATAAAATGGAAGAGTACCTAGGTCCCTACCTTCACTGCAAACACTGATTTCCGGCCACAGTCTAGTACCTTGAAGACAATTCCAAAGGAGCCTTTAGCCACAAGGCCTAAAATCTGTACAGAAAAATGGAGAACAGAGCAATTGAAACTCTGGTCATTTCTAGATTTCTCCCCAAGACTGAGACCCCGTTCAGTGATTCCATTGACCTACCTTTAGCTGCTGATGCCCCCTAGGGGGCCTAATGGGAAACTCCGGCAGAAAGAGGTTGATGAACTGAGGCACTGGCCACTCAGACAGAGGCTTCTCTACTAGCAGTGGAGCTGGCTCCAGGGGCTCCTGGTGCTGGCACTGATGCCCTGGTAGTCCCCACCGTTCTTCCAGGCCTGACCTGGTGGTCCCCACACCTGACCAGAGGCTCTTCCAGCCTTGGACCCAGGGACCCTGGATGTTGCCACCCTGATGAGAACCAAGGGAGCCACTCTAAACCTTCTGCCCCTGAGGTATTGCAGGTTCTGCCCATCTCAGCAGGCACTCCCTCTAATCTCAACCCTAGAGATGTATCTTTGAGACCAGGCAAAATTGCCACCACTATTCTTGCTTTGGGTCAAGGAAGACTTAGATTTCCTTAACATAATTCAAATACTCTAGGAAAGCAGTATTTGGACATTTTCCCCATGAAGTATCAAAGATTCAGCTACTCCCAGTATGGGGCTCGGACATTTTCACAGTATAGCCTCCCCACCCCCACAGTGGGTATCACTAACATACTCCTCACCAGTCACTTCCCAGGCCTCAAGCTCAGGTCTCCTTCACCTCCCCTAATCAGGCTGCCAGAGGCCCATAGCCTACCTTATGAGGAGCAACCACCCGGGCATGTTGCCCCTGCCGACAATTCATTGTTCCCATTCCCAGCCTCTGACTCTTCTCTCCTTTCATTAAATCTGCTGTCCCCGTTACATAAGCAGTGCCTCCCCGATGCTGCATTATACATGAGCCCCGCCTCTTACTTGCTGATCATGACTAGAGATGCAAGTGGTACAGCCAAACCTCACCCTTATCCCCAAATCCTATCACCCCTGGTTAAGAATAGGTTTATAACCAAAACTAAAATGTGCAGAGACCTATCAGCATAGGGCCAGTGTCACACCAGAGCCTGGAAATATCTGTGATGCAGTTTCAGGCAGGAGGGAAGAGGCAGCCCTCATTAGAGTGGCAGCTAGAGGATGTGTCTTAGGTTGATGGGGAGGGAAGAATACAGACAGTTGAACCCATGCACTCAACACAATAAAAAAAAAAACAGCATCAAATTTAAAATATATTTTTTCTTTTTAAATCATTTTCTTACCATTCTCCAAGGCATAACCCAGGGGGACCCGTGGCTAGCCCTGGCTCCTATTGCCATCTCCCCAAGTGAGCTTGGCACAGATTGGGGGAGGGACTGATTCCCCCCAGAACACTAATACCTCTTTCATAAAAGGCAGTAGAATGAGGGACAGATCAGCCCTCTGGCCCCCAACTTTCTAGCACAGGAGGAGAGCAGTTACACTTAGAGAAATATATATGTATTTATATATGTCTATTTATAAAAATTTATCACACTTGATCAGAACTGTCCCCCACCCTTTCAGCTGACCCCAAGGGAACCAGATCCTAGTCCTGGAACCATTCCCTGGCCCTGGGCCTGCTGATCAGTGTGAGGTAGAACTCAGCTTTATTATCCACCATGCTCTGCAGAGAACAGGCCAGCTGCTAAAAGAGTAGTGCCTCTCTCTGCAGTACCCTGTGGACTCCTAACCCCAACAAATCCTGATGGATAAAGGGAAGTGCCTCCCGCCCCACAAGTCCCTGGGGTCTGAGCCGGAGTCATATCCTGTATGCAGCCATTCTTGGAATGCCGGATCACTTGCGCCTGCCAAAAATGGACTTCTTGCCAGGGTTTTTGTTGCCCACACTTAAACCGATGAGGAGCCGAGCTTTCTCCACTTCTTCCTGCTGTTGCATGTTGAGGTCAGATTTAGTTTCTAGCTTTCCCCGGACTTCTGACCCTGTTGCAGGCTTCAGCCTTAGCTTCTCTTTGATTACCTGATAGGTCAGAGAGGAGTAAAAGGGAAGGTAAAAATTAGTAGGACAGAATAAATCACAGTGAATCAACTCAATAAAGATTTATTCAATTTACACAGAGGCACAATAAAGCCTTTCAAATCCTAAAATGATCTCTGCTTTCAAAAAGCTTAGAGTCTAATTAGAACCCATTCTAAACTTGAGGTTGTGTCAGCCCCCAGTTTCCTAAAAATCAATAGTAGTTAACATATGAAACAGTAAATACTCAATTTAATCATCTGAGCAAAGTCATGGAGAAAGCAGGGAAAAAAGTTGCTCACTTTATTCACCTGCCCCATCCCAAGGCTGCTTGTTAATACATCCTACAATGAAATGCTCCTGAGCAGAGGATCTGCTTGCCAGACCCTGCTAACCAAACAGCCATGAACTCTGCCGGGATACCTGGGCAACCAGGGCTTTGCGGCTGTCCCTCTTGACAGCCATGGCAAAGTCTAGCCATGTCCATGTGTTGTTGTGGTACTCCAGACAAGGCAACACCAGGTTAAGGTCACCCCAGTCCACACTGTTCTTCTCACCCTGCAAGAGAAGGATGGGAGGGAAGGGAAAAAAAGATATCAGCTGCCACTTTTAGTCCAAGCCAGTACCTTGGACTAGACTTGAGTCCAAGTCTAGTACCTTCCTATAGCAGTAAACTACAGATACTGATTTTCCCTTACCTCAGTTTGATAATAGGAGAGGAAGCAGATTTATCACCCATGGGCCAACTTCACAAGCTGGACCATCTCCCTGTCTTTAATCTAAAATGATCTTATCTGGTTCCCTTCCCACCCTGTTCTAGTAAGTGCTGGGGAGGAGCAGACCTTGTAGCTGACACACAGTGGAACCTGTGGAATCTTTATGTAGATGAAGGAGTTGTTCATGGCGGCTCGCTCTTTCATCTTGTCAATATCATCCACAGGGTGCTAGGAAAGGCAGAAAAGCAGTATGAGCCCCTGAACCATCAGAAGATACTTAGGACCCCAAACATCTCCATCTCCTTTCACCCCTGGAATAAACTCAAAGGTAACAGAAGAAATCCCTAGCCAGGCTTAACAAAGTATCCTAGGACTCCTCCATTTTTCTATCATTAGGGGCATGTCCAGTACCTCAGGGGCTTTGCGAAATGACCTTCTGACCCCAGAACTCCGATTCAAGCCCTGTGCCACACCCTTCCCAGGGCCCAGTGCTGCTGCATCATCTGTTGCAATCAGCTGCCGAGGCTTCACCACTGGTATTCCTATGAAAAAGCAAGCACACCAAATGTCTTCTTTCTGAAGCTTCTGCTATCTCCGAGGCTGCTATCCTACCCCAGTGTTCTGGAGCTCCACCATAAAAGTTCTCACCAGTAGTCACCAGTTTGGACTTATCTTCCTCATCACCAACCTCATCATCTTCCACACTTCGACCAGGAAAGAAAAAGCCCATTATTCTATGGAAGAACTGGTGTGTCAGCTGGATGGTGAGAGGCACCACATTTACCTAAAGAGGAAAAAGGCTGAAGAAGCAATTAAGTTCAGACATCATCCCTCAGTTTACCTACCCCTAACAGTGTAATACAAAGCACAGATAGCTTCTGACTGCCCTTTGTTCCTAGATCTCCAAAGGACCATTTACTAACCTCAAAGTGCTCCTTAACAGAGATACCCCCAACGGGAGGCCGGACTTTGCTGAATAGGCGGAGGGCTAGCTGTCGCCCAGACTGGCAGGGGCTCTGGGGCCGCAGGACTACCTGTAGGATAGAATGATAAATCAACTCACAAATTCTCTGTAGACCAAGAGGAGAAGCAGTGGTCTTGCTAAGATGGACAAGCTTTTACCATCTCAGATTACCACATTGTTTCCCATAGTGAGCTTATGTAGAAGGGTCATTACAAATGGCCTGTGCTAGAAAGTACACGAACGGGCTAGCAATGGGGAAATAAGACTTGCCTTATAGACAGCATTGGGCAGGAGGTTGTTCATAGTGAACCAGCCCAATTCCAGAAGATGTTCTGCTGTGTCATCAGACTTATTCACCTATAAAGACAGATTCCCCCCCCAATCCCCAATCCACTGTAATAAGCCTTTCACAGGAGCCTGCTAGAGAATTGCTATATATCCTATTTGTTCTCAGGTTCTCCATATGCCTAATCCCAATCTTTGATCTCTCTTTCAACCTCATATAATCAATGTACCCTCTAATCCCATGTTTCTCATGGGGGCTACTGGCCAGGGCACTAAATGCCAGTAGTACTTTCCAGTCGCTATGACATTCAAAAATGGTCTCATTCATTTCCAAACATCCTGGAAGGGGTGGGGGGTTGGGGAAGAAGGAGGAACAAACAATGTCCTCTCCTCCATGCCATGGGCAATTGCAGGAAAGCTAAATGCCTACATAGAAGTAAGGTTCTATTTCAAGCAGGACTTAGAATACTTCCCTCTGGGCCACATTTCTAGGGGTAATCTTATTTATGGAGGGAAGCACTTGATCACCCTCATCTACATCAGCATTATTTAGTATTACAAAAATGTATCTAAGGGGAACTCTGCTCATGTTTCATTAATAACCTTTAATACCATCATTAATAGTTATATAATAACTAGCCCCTTTTTGTTTCTCTTTTTGTGAGACTCCTGAGATAGGTCAGTGCCTCTCAATACAGCTGCCTTTGTGTGATATACTCAATACCTTGCTATAGAGAAACCGCTGCAGCTCCAGTTCAGCAATGCCTAGCTGTCCATCTTCCTCTGTCAGGCGCCATCGTGCCTGAGCAAAGTAGAACTCAGTGCGACGAACCACACTCACATCTTCCTGCTGCTTTCGCAGCTCCATCTTGTTGGCCTGCTGCAACTGGAAATCCTTAAAACACCTAGTAATGGACAGGAGGGTCAAAGCCAATAAGGGCAACAGCATTTGGGTTGGGGGTGGGGTGGTATGCTCTAGAATGATGCATGAGATAAACCCAGAGATAGACCTATTCTGGAACAGCTATTCTCTACATTTTTTCCACTGGATTCATTGGTTCTCACACCTTGCCATGGGATACAAATCCATCTTTCAGTTCTACAGCTTCTTGATAAAGTAATCTCTTTGCACTAATAACCCCGATTATACCTACAATCGTGTTCCTTACTAATCAACTCAAGATTTTTATTTTCAGTTCAGCTGCACAATATTAAGACCACAAAAGTGATCTTTCCCAATTACCCATTTTTCTCCTTTCCCACCAGGTAATCTACTGATGATCCAAAGGAAGGGCTCCTTTGTTCTCAACCTCTTGGGTAAGTGCAATAAGGCTCATTCAGAAAGAGGTGCCTGAATCTACTATATCAGCCTTTGATAATACTCACTAGACCTAAAGACTATCAGAACGTGGGCAAAGAAGAGAAACTGACTCCAGCTGGGTAACTGGAAAAGGGCAGAAAAGAATGCTGTTTCACCTGATGAGGATATTAAGCTCTTCACTTTCCAGCTGTAGATTAGCCTTCTCCTGGTGTAGCTGCAACTGAAGCTTTTGGTTCAGGTCAAGAAGGTTCTCATTCTTGCTGTCATCCTGCAAAGACTAGGGAGCCAGGACAGGAGAAACTGAGAAGAGATTTCCCTCATCCTAAGAAGCCTCCATATCCTCAGACTGCCCAGGTGACTACCTTCATGATAGAATACATCTGCTTTTCCAGCTGCCGTATCTGGGCCACATGCTGCCGCACAGCCTCCTGCAAATGTAATATGCTGCTGCGCTGCTCCTCAGGATTGCTGGAAATCTCAAGCTGGAATCTGACCCGTTGCTTCTTCTCACTATGCTCCTAAAGGAATAGAAAAGAAAATG